GAACGTGTTTCCTCCACTACCAGGCCACTGTGGATTTCAGTGAGCCTGCATCCGATGCAGCTATTTAAGGGCTGAACCTTCCACTGGCCCTACCCACTATGGGGTTTGGGATGGCACTTAATGTAGCGCACAACAGAGGATTAGTGCTTAGGGGCCGGTTTGATTAAGTGTGGATTAAAAAAAGAATGCAAAAGTTCATGTTTGTCCCCATAGGTTGAGTAAAATCAAAAATAAAACACATTTTCCTTGTACTGTGTTTTCATACATTTGTGCAGCTTTGTAGTTGGACACAGATTCATATCAACATTACAGCTCATGGGAGACTGAAGGGTGAAGATTCAGTGGATTCATAAAGGAGCATAATAATTTTTATCAAGTGTTAAATGCTTTTATGTCACAGTAAAAACTATTTCAGCTTCTTTTGCTGATAAATGCAAAATATATACAAAAATCTGCTGCAGGATACACCTACTGATCCCTCTGTAAAGACTATAATATTTTAGAGACCAGATTTTTACTCTCTCTCCGTGGTTCTGACCAAGCATCCACATGAATTGTTCAGCAGGAGCTGCCGTTCAGGTAGGAGTTCATCCAAATCTCCTGGATGATCATGTCTCTGCGTTCGATCCTCTCCGCCAGCTCAGCCGCCTCGCTCATGTAAGTCACTTCCTCCCAGCTTTGGATCCCCCTCCTCTCGGCAGTTGAAAGCAGAAAGCTCTCTGTTCCTTCATTGTCGCCGTCCTCCTGGGCTTTGTCCTCATAATACTGCTCAGAACAGTTGGGACTCACTCCGTTTGACTTGGCTGCAAGCCAGTGATCCCTGAGCCGCCGCCCCCGGCAGGTCACTTGGACAGATAGAGCCAGCAGTGTAAAGAGGAGGCCAATGCAGACGCTGGAGGTGAAGAGCAGCGCCGCCGTCTCTGGGTGTTCTGTGTGGAAAACAGTGGAATGACACTGAAGATCACATTTAAAGCAGAGTTGCTAAAATGTCTGTGGTCTCAAATATGTTTAAATGTAAGTTTATTTCTATTTTGTATATCCTTGCAACTTTCTACCCCTTCTTTCCATCCCACTGTGTACTATACGTATTTCTTTAGTTCGTCCTTCTTGTGGCCTTCCTTCATTCCTTTCATCCTACATTTGTTTTGTTCTTTCCTTGGGATTCCCACTTTCCTAGCTTATGAACTTTTGCCCACCTCTTCTATGTTTACTGCTAGATTTAAGCCCTGCCAAATGTACAATATCTGCATAAAAAGTGAACAATAATATTTTATATTTTCAAATATTCATAAAGAAACATCATTTTGTACCCTTCTTAAAAAGATAAGAGCATAAGTCTACCTTTGATGAAGGCATAGGTCAGAAGAGAGTTACTCATCATTGCTCCTGAACTGTCTGGTCTACTTGACTCCAGATCTGAAACAGAATCTGTTGTAAAATGTAGACGCCAGCTGTAATAAAGGTATCTGTGCATACATAGAACAGAAACAAGTAGATTCTGATACCTTTTTCTGTGCTTGGAAGTGAGGTGGTACTCAGAATGCTTGGGTCTGCTTCTCTCAGTAAAGACTTCGGCACTATGGAAGGAAAGAAGGACACTTTAAAAATTATTTTTTACTTTGCCTTGAACCCTGAGACGTTGTGTCTTTTAAAAGGATTATTAGCTGATATTAAAATAATAATTATCTTGATCATTCAAACTCAGACTTGAGTCTGATGGAATAAGGGTTATGTTAAAGAGGTTCTCCATCCTCAAAGATAGGAGCTCATCAACAAAAAGCACAGTAACTAGTAACTCAGTAACTAGCATAACTTCTAACAATAGGACATCACAATGCCAGCTGGTGATTTTCACCATTTTTAGTATTAAGATTTAATTTAACTAGAAACTATATATTATTTTATTGTCCTTTAAAATATCTGTCATTCCTCTGAGAAAACAAACTCTTAACTGCATAACAGAAAACCCAAACCTGCTATATATGTGAACTTCTATACTGAAATAAAACAATGGAACATTTAAGATATAATAGAGCAAATTAAGTAATTTAATTTAACTTTAAAACCCGCCTTTCTTGTTATTTATAATAAAATGAACATGTAAGAGCACAGTGCTGCTCTGACACCACTGGTAGGAGACCCTTGGTCCAGTCAAACTTCAGACCTAAATCTAGTTGCTCGACTTCCTGACCAGCCACTTCTCATCCACCGTCCCTATAAACACCGGAGTGCCACAAGGCTGTGTGATGAGTCCCTTCCTCTACTCCTTCCTCACCCACGACTGCAGACCTGTCTATGGCTCTAACACCATCATCAAGTTTGCAGATGACACCACAGTGATCGGCCTCATTAGGGACAACAACAACAACTGCCTACAGGGAGGAGGTGGACCTTCTGGCTGAATGGTGTGACACAAACAACCTGCAGCTGAACACATCCACCCATTCACACCAATGGGACGGCAGTGGAGCGTGTGGTCAGCTTCAAGTTCCTGGAAGTCCACATCTAAGTGAAACTGACCTGGACGACCAGCTGCTCCAAACTCATTATAAAGGTGCACCAGGAAGAACCATCTGTCCACAGAGATCCTCACAAACTTCCACCGCTGCACCATTGAGAACATCCTCACTGACTGTGTCATAGTTTGGTACGGGAACTGCTCTGCCTCGGACTGGAAGGGGTTGCAAGTGGTCAAACTTGCCCTGTTCATCGCCATCAAGAATGCCTACAGGACTGTACAAAAAGTGCCAGACTCACTCACTCACTCACTCACACACTCTTCTCACTCCTACCCTCTAGGAGGTGTTACAGAGGCCTACGGACTAGAACTACCAGGCACCGGAACAGCTTATTCCCCACAGCTGTCACACTCCTGAACTCCTCCTGACTATCAACTGTCCTTACACATAACTCCACGCATCCAACACCACTTACATGCACTTCTCAAACATATTTTAACTGCCATCATCTGTCATTATTTATGCTGTATTAAAACCCCACTAATATATAATCCACATCCTAACTTTCCTGTATGATTGTATATAGTTTTCATATTTTTTATTTTATAGCCTCTTATAATTATCAGACTCAGAATCAGAAATACTTTAATAATCCCAGAGGGAAATTACTTTTGTTACACGCTCCAGTTACAGTTTTAAATAATATATACACACATCCAACTATCCAATATAATAAAGATAAAAAATAAGAATAAAAAGAGATCAAATATATACACATATAGCTCTTCTGTATATATATCTGTACTTATATCTATGCATATGAAAAAACTAAATCCAAATAAAGTGAAAATCCAAGTAAAGTGATACGTGACGTGCAAAAATAGTAATTACTATGTATATATATATATATATATATATATATATATACCATTTATAGTCAATACATACATAGTCTCTGTGTATGTGTTGACTTAATATCCTGCATAGCACTTCTGGATAGATGCAAACCACATTTCGTTGCTTTGTACTTGTGACAGTGTAATGACAATAAAGTTGGATTCTATTCTAAATCCCGTTCTCTACCCCAATCTGCAGAAAAATCGAAAAGGTAAAGAAATCCAACTGTTACTGGGATTGTAGCGAGTGTTTGCTTTTCTGGTTGGATAATGGAATCTTAAGTTCCCTGCAGTGATGTATTAATAACCAATCATTGTTGGGCTATAAATAGTCAACAATGATACCAAGAGGAATTCAAATTAGGATATATGAATAGAGCTGTTTTATGTCTCCACTAACAGTTGTGCCAATCAAACAGGAAGTCAGCCACGAGATAAGGAGAAAAAGAAAAAATGAACTTGGGAGTCTATTGTTTCCCACTTTTTCTATTACTTGGTTTATGTTTTATTTTTTCTTTAAGGGTGGAGGAAGGGTAGGAGTCACGAAAATCTGGGATCTGAAGATAAGAACTCAAAGCAGGAAACAACAAATGCCCTGTGAAAGACCCGCAGCATGATGATGGAAGCTATGATAACATGAGTCTAAGACATCATCTGAGCTGGTACTTGAATGCATCACCAGGCTTTGATCTCATTACATGTGAATGAGGAAACAGGAGAGGATCCTACCACAAGAATAAAGCACACTGAGGTACTTCCTGGTTCCTGGAAAGCAGGGGTCCCTGAAGGTCTGGTTGCCAACAGCAACGGCGCATTTCTGTCGGCTGTAGCAGGATTTGGAAACCACCTGCACGGCCTCGTGGTTCAGACACTCTGACGGAAGGAGCAAAATAAAGAGAAACGTGAGAAAAATAACAGAGAGGACTGAGTCTGGAAAGAGTCAACAAACATCTTCACAGTTCAGCTTTGGTCTCGCCTTCCTCATGTTTGTGTCTCTAACATGTGAAATGAGACTCCCTCTGCTTTTCCTTGTTATTCCATGGCACAGGACTTGTTTTCACATAGTCCTCTCAGATAGCTGCTATTTTGGTCTAAAAATCCCAACCAAGGAGTTTTATCACAAGAGATTCAGTAGTAGCTCAGCTCTAAACATGGAGCTGACAAAAATACTTTGTGAGGTGTGCTGTGCAGGTATGACACTGCTTTCTAAGATCTGTGATTGGTTGATTAAAGATTAGAAAAATACAAAAACACATCTGCACTGTGTCTTGAGGAAGAAACTTGTCCAAATTAAATGATTTATCACATAACATCTATCATCCTCATTTAATTTGCCGATGATTATGCTAACACACGCAAATGTCTCAACGACCATTTAGTTTATTGTTACCGACATCATGACACACAATAAAGCAAATATTTTCTCACCTCTTTTACATCTTTCCTCCTAGTATATAAAGCAGGGGAGCACTGATTGATTACCAATTCCTGATCTTTAAAAGGCCTGACATGCTGATTCCAATTTTGATTGATTCAGGGTTTTTTTAATGACCAACACTGTCATTCCTGGATGACTGTGAACCTTCACCAGCATAACCAACACTGTCAGTTGTTATAAGATCACAAAACCCCTTAAGTATTTCAATTGCATCTAGCTGAAAGTCATTAAAGGTGTGAAACGATAAAAATGTCTGAAATGACTGCTCTGAAATATAAATCAAAGTTTAGAGCATTGATTTTCAGACCTTTGCAGAGGTAGATAAGATCTGATGAAAAGATTGATTTCACATCGAAGTATCGGCCGACCACAGATCTCCCAAAATAAAGGAAATCAAAGTCGAAGTGCATATTTTTGTACTTTATATTCTCTAGTTTATTTTTTCTTTAAATATTTTTCAATTAGGAAGATATTATAGTTTGCAAATGATGTTGAAATCATTCTGCTTTTTAACTGTTTTTATATTTCCCACATTTATTTTATGATTATTTACTATTTATTAATCCTCATAAAATTGTGTTACCTGAGCTGCACCTTTATTAAAGTCCCTGCTGCTCAAATTATTTTATTTCCCTTTACAGGTAAGATGAAAATTATTTCATAAAAATCACCCTCCCTTTTTTTCCTCCCTTTAGAAGTTTTCTGAAGGCCTGTTTTGTGAATAGCTTTTATTAATCACTAAGAGCCACTTTACATTTTTTTGTGACTACAGATCCAGATTGGTGGACCTTTTGACAATTTTTGAAATCATATTTATGATTTATTTATGATTGAGGATCTGAGCAGCTCCCGCATGGTCATCACCTTTCCAGGCTTGTTGGTTTAGATGAATACTTTTGCTATGCATTATAAAAGTAATACCTTATTTACTGGCTCACTTCTGCAGAAGCTAAATTGCAGTTACCAAGAGTAAAACTTTGCTCCCATGAAAGGGAATTTGATCTGATTTAACCCAGATGAACAAATATTAAATTATTTTGCATAAACGCAAGATTTTATGTTATCTACAAATAGCTTTTATTTTGATGGATAATTAAAGAGTCAATAAAACATCTATGAATGGTTGGTGTTATATTGCACTGTTCAGACAGACTCATCTTCCCTCTGCCAGTTCTATTTAACATACCAAGAAAAGCACAGGTGTTCTGGAGTAAGTGAGAAGGAATGCAGCAACAACTGAAGTCACGAGATACACCTGTTTCTACCTGCACCTTTTCCGCTTGTGCTCTCTTTTCATTTTTAATAAAGGCCTCATACCTATGAATCTCTTCTCCCCTGTGTGTTCTAAGGAAAAATCACTGTTTTAGTCAACAGATGGAGCTTATCTTTCCATATAGAACAATTAACTCTCCCCACCCACCACCATGAAGCTGCCTAAGGCCTTCTAGATAAGCGTCATGGGAAAAAGAGCCATGCTCAAAATAAAAATAAAGATCAATGCTGGCAGTGTTCCACTTAGCTGTCCGTGTCAGAGTTACGTGAGGCCAGCTGATGTCTCTAATCAAATATTCGCTGCTTCTTTTTCACCGTACTTTACAACAGTGATGTTTCTCTAATAGTAGCTGACGGTAGCTCACCGAATGGGGGTGGTCTCGTCCGGAGTGAAGGGCAGGCGTCAGTCTGACCCAGACCTCGGCCATAAACAGCTGCATAGATGATCAGCGCCTTGGGGGGCTTACAGCGTAAGAACATGATCTCTCCTTCACACACCACCTGTGTTTTGTGTTCAGCTGAGGGAGGGTACCGGTGAAACTGTTATATGTCTGAAAGCGCTCAGAGTGAGCGGGGAAATGGAACAGATGAACTCACAGGGTTTGCACTTGTAATCCACATGGAGGTACTTGGTCTTGCCGGGGCACGGGTCCTTCCCAAACAGCAGGTGAGTGACTGGTAGCTGGCAGTCTCTGTGGTTCTGACACTCAGACAGGAGCTTCTGCAAAACAAAACGCTCAATAAACTCCAGCATCCATCATCATGCGTAACCTCCAAACCTCCTGCTGAAACAAGTCTTCCTCTAATAACTCACATCTGGTTAACCGCAAACTAATCTGTAAAGTTTTGGATGTGAAAGAGCACCTGGAGGGCGGTTAAAGCTGAGCAGCTTTGGTTTTGGGGTCCAGACTGGGGGTCCTCTGAGCACAGCCGGACCCGGCCGCTCCCATAGAAGGCTGACTGGATGGAGATGGTGGAGTGACGAGGACAGTGGAGTCTCAGTGGCGCTCCGTCGCAGGCATGAGCAGAGTGGCTTGTGATGATCCTTGACAGGTAGTCTGTTGTCAAGAAAGAAGGGAATCATTTTTTTCCAAATCAATATCACAGATGAAGCTTTAGCATTTACTAATCAGACTCTTTCTAGATCAGGTATGCATTTCATGCTGCTTCCAGTATGGAAGAAGCAGTAATGTAAATATTATCTGATTTGTTCCTTAAAAGAAAAATCTTATCAACTGTCAGCTATACGTTGATTCTTTTCTAGTGAGACGACCCCTTTGAAATCTCTTTTGCTAGGAAAGCCAGATGAAGAAGCCTGGCACATGGTTCACAGACATGAATGACACAAAAAAGTACAAGAAAAGATTAAACTATGGATTTCTCCAAGCATCATTTAAAGAGTAAAAGTCTGTAAAAATGTGTATTCAAGGAAGATCATTTCCTTCTCTTTATATGCAATGGAGGATACAGATATATTTTAAAACATGAGAATAGTATAATACATTTATTTTCACTTACAGAAGAAGGTGAAACTCAGTTTGGTTATACATAGGATAAAATATTTCAAAATGTAGCCTGTAATTTCATGATAATGGCTTACAGAGTATAACTCTATGGATTATTCACAAGTTAATAACGATTAAGCTGAAATTTACTCAGGACCTGTAGAATGAGGACATCCTTCAGACAGAATCTGTGTAAAGCAAATCAAAGATGGGACTTTAGTTTTATTCTGTGGACTTTTTAGGGAAAAAAAATACAATGTATGTGGACTGATGAAAAAGAAATGTGAAACTTTGAAAAATGCATCCCGTTAAATCTGGGATACAGCTAATTCACTGAAACTGTGAAAAAACCAATAGGTGGTGGTAGTATGATGGTTCATTGTACCTTTGCTTCTTCAGGAACAGAACTTGATGGAAATGATGGAAGCATGAATTCTGCTTTCTCATTGAATATTCTATAGATCATGGAAAGATTATCTGTTTGTTACCAAAAGCTTAAACTTCCCATGCTGTTGAATTAAATCTACTGCCACAATACTTCGAAAATCATGTCAAACTGTTATCACAAACATTTTATTTGGACCAACGGTGAAAAGTATCCAGTTACCAGGTTTAGAATATCTTGGATCTGTATGCTTTATCATACAGATCTGAGAAAATCTTTTTTGTTTGTTTTGTTTTTCAAAGGCTTGTGCATTTGAGCAGAGTTTGGTGGCATGGCAACCAAATACCACATCAAAGCATCCCTTTGTGATTGGGATACTGTACACGCTTAAATCATAAATATGACTGCATTTAATGTCATTTGCAGATCTTGTCAAAGGATTGTTGGGACACTCAACAGTTTTTACATAGAAATGGTGGAGCAGCAAATAAGGATTAGGAATGCTCTGTCTAAGGTTATTTAGAGTGAATCATTCATCCCCCCTGGAAGATATAGGTTAGAATCAGACTTTTTAAAGCATTTTTTTTTTATTGAACAAACATGTCTTTTTTGTGGAGTTCATTTCAATTCAGTTTCTTTATATAGCGCCAATTCACAACACATGTCATCTCAATGCACTTTACAGTTCACCAGATCAAACAGTCAAATTGATTCTAAGTTTTCTTTCTAAGGAAAACCAGTTGATTGTATCAACTCATTGACTCGAATGCAATCCCTCCCACTAAGCATGCTTGTAGCAACAGTGGAGAGGAAAAACTCCCTTTTAACAGGAAGAAACCCCCAGCAACCAGCTGCAAACCCAGGGTCCTGACTTCAATTTTATAATCTGTGGCGAAACATGAAGATTAGGATTATACAACAAAGGCCTTCTGACGATAAAGACTTGGGGCTCTTCGCAAAAGATAAATGGTCTAAATAGCTGCAGAGAGGTATAAAATGCAGTTCAGCAATTACCAGGATTCGACTGCTTTAGCAACATTAAAGATTATTTTAATCAAAAAGTGTATAAATAATGTTCACTATGCTGTTTTTTTAATAGCCTAAATCAGAAGTCTTTAACAGGGGGTCCGCGACCCCTAGGGGTTCCATGGAGGTACTGCATGGGGGTCACAAAAGTTTTTGTTGGGAAGGCTTCTTTTTAATAGTCCCCCCTGCAAATTTTTCCACTAATTGAAATGTCTTTAAATACACATTAACATGAATTCAACACACTGTAGTAAACAGATAAATGGAGGTAGAAGATATATTTTAGTCATCAGTGCACACATTCAGCGACACACAGGAGCTCTTTCAAGCGGGGCACTGTTTCATTCACAACACCTGTCCCATCAACCAGGAATCAGAATCAGAAATACTTTAATAATCCCAGGGCGAAATTACTTTTGTTACATGACTAACCCTAACCCTCTATAATAGAGTGACTATAAGACCACTTTGATATAACACAATTACATACAATACATATGATTAATAATTAACTCCATCTTGCCCTGAGGCATAGACAGAAAAATTAAATAGGGGTGACAGTCAAAAACCAATGTACACTGAGGGGTGGCCAAAAATGGATAGGCACCAGAACTTAAGGGTCAGTCTAAACTGGAAATTTGCACAACATCCATATTTTCTAAATATGACAAACTATACTTTCCTGCAATCTTTGCTAACAAATAGACGCATATATTTAAACATCCATTCACATGGGTGGCAAATGATTGGCTAAGGGTGGCCATGGCCACCTCTGGCCCCCCATCTAGCTTCTCCCCTGATCTCGCCATCATTTTGGGGGTCCTTGGCCTGAAAATCGTCAAAGACCCCTGGCCTAAATTAATTTCCTATCATACAGAAACTGCTGGGCAATCATTTGAATCAAAATAGTTACTGGAAGAAAAAAAAAAGAAAAAAAAAAACAGTCAGTGATATGGAAGATTTTAAGATAATACAGAGAAAATAATAGTGGGCCAAGCATGTGACCATGTGAAACACCAGAATAACATTTTTTTAAGGCACTTTCAGATTAAAATTGTCAGTTGTCTCAGAAAAATACTTAAATACTTTTATTAGAAGTGTGAAGGAGAAATTAAAAAACCTGATTACATTAGAAAAAGTAAAATAAAGGTGTGCATTATTCCTGTTCCCCTCCCTTCATTACATCATCATCAGCTTACTTGAAAAATCAGCCAGTCCGTTCATGCGTCTTGTCCACAGAAGTAAAGTCAGGTAGAAGAGGCTGTGGCTCCAGTCCAGTCCGCACCAAGGACGCGTCCAGCTCATGACTCCTATCCTCTGTCCTCCTTCTCATATTCTGGAACTTCATGAGAAAAACAAACAAGCAGGAAGGAAGGAGTGAATCCACATGGCCGCGGTGATCGGCTGCATCTCTCTAAGGTCGGGAAAGAAAGCTGGTCGCTGTCTGAAAGTGATCCATCTGTCCTCAGATAGAAAATACCAGCAGGCGGTCAGACTGTCAGTGTTGGAGCTGATGGAGGGAGGGGGGAATAGCAGCTGCGCAACAAGTTTTTCACAACAGGCAGCCGATGAGATCAGTCCACTTTATGGCAGCGATAGGCTCCTCTAATATCCAAAGCAGATTTGTGAATGGATAGCACCATGTGGGAAGTGGCAGCGATTTACAGTAACAGCTGAGTGGGTATCGTGGAGTGGGAGCGGCGCACTAAACTATTTTAAAAGGCGCAGTGGAAGCGCACGCTGCCATGACGCAGCACGCTGCCATGACGCATGTTGTTTTTCTCTCCGTCTCCGTGTTTATTTTTATTTTTATACTCTTTTCTGCAACTTTTTTTTATTCGTTTGCGCAATACTTTAACGTGCATTAACAGTTTTGGAATAGAAAATCTCTTTTTTGTCCCACAGTGGGGAAATTCTTGTGTTACAACAACAGCAAATAGATTATAGAAAAAAAGGGTCACACAGATGTGGACCTTAGAAAAATGTATAAGAATAACATAATAGTGAAGAGTTGAAAAATAAACAAATGAATTACTGCACTGTAAAGTGTTTTAACTATATAAATACAGGGCATCTGGGGAATAAATAACCAATATACAGCTGAGGACATTTTTACAGTCATGAATATTTAAAAATAGCAGCAACATCAGAGATGTGCAAAATGACAGCAGCATGTTATTTAACTGACTAAGATAGAAACTGTGCAAAATCAGCATGAATGTAACAACCTTTTGAGGTTGTTGGGAACAGTGATGGTTATAAAGTCTTCCAGCTGCTGGGAGGAAGGATCTGTGATAACACTCCCTGGTGCATTTAAGGGGCAGCAGTCTGTCACTGAAGGAGCTCTCTAGTTCTGCAACAGCTTCATGCATGGGGTGAAAACATTATCCAAAAACCTCTTAATCTAATTTATGTGTTGTTTTTTTTAACCTCTTTATCTAATCTGTTGTGCAAATGACAAATCCCACCCTGATTAAAATACTTACAGAAATAAATGAAGGGCTTAATGATATAAAACATGGGTG